CAGCTGTTACTATTAATTGTTAACAATGTTTACTATCCAATTGGGCCAGTGGAATTTGCCTAGGGCGCTTGTCGTGAGACTATTTAGTTATTATACATACATATTATGCTGAAGCCAAAGTCAAACAAGCAGACAAGCTTTCCAAAGTGGTTTGAAGATAGTCGATGGATGAAATACATCAGTTCAGTGTACTATAGTTGGTTTATTTGATCGGTGGTATTTGATTTAGTTTAGGTAGGACTACAAATCCACATCCACAAATAGTATTCGTATCGTCATCGTGAAATGTTGTATGGTAAAAGTTAGATTGGTTTTACGTCCAATATGGGCGTTGCTCAGGCTGTCTACTATCTTTCTCCAAAACGAACTTTCTTTATCGAAGTTCAAACTAAAATTTAATTTCGACAATGTAAGGTTATACTTAATTTGAACGATGAACTACTAAATTGAAACTTTCTTTGAGAAGGCTTAGAATAGGCTTGTTGAAAATATATCGATATTTTTTGTTCGATATATCGATATTTTGAGCCGATATATTTTGATTCGATATATCGATACATCGATACAAAATAACCAATATCGAAATTCGTATCAAAAACGATATTTTTTAATTATTAGCGGTATATCACGATCTAACTAAATTCGTATCTGGAAAAATCGTAACTGGATCTCAGATTAATGATATTCAACATATCTATGATCTGTGCTGTATTTAGTATTGTCTATGATTTGTAAATCTGTTTCGCTGGTGAATTGGTTGTGCTGAATTCCATTATATTCTGTGGAAATGTGTGATTAGTGTTGTTTACTAAAGATGGCACCTGAGAGGCCCTGCAATCATTTTCATCATTCGAAAATAGGGTCTATTTTTAGGGAGATAAATTTCGATCAATTATTATTCCTCGTATCATCTTTCGTGAGATACTGTACTGTCATTTAGTGTAGCGGCAATTTGGTACTTTCATAATTCTTTCTTTAATTATAATTTGTATTGTTATTATTACTGTGCTAGGCTGACCTAAATAAATTTTTCGGGAAAATTGGTCCGATATATCGATGTTTTTTTCGCGATATATCGAAGCCGATATTGATATTTTTTTTAAATATCGATGTATCGATATATCGATATTTTTTTCAACTTTCGACATCCCTAGCTTAGAAAATCTACACCTTAATCTATATTCCGACGACGAATATTATTATAAATAAATAACGAACCAGAAACATACTAAGAAAAATGCGAAGTTTCGATGGAAATTTTGTTTTTCGCTGAATTAGAGTAGGCCTACTGTTTTCAACTTTGACGATGCGATACTATCACAGAGCTGTCGAAATTCACGCATGGGCCTTTGATCGCGCAGCCAGTCAACTGTTGCAGGTGGAAGTTCTTCGTAAAGTTTCCTCAGGTCACCTCGGTCGTAGTCAATTAAGTCAGTCACTTAATCTAAGGCTTTGCTGAATATACCTATAAGCTTTCTTGTGACGTTGACAAATCAATAAAGTTCCTTTAAAAAGAGAGTATAGGTATAATGTAAATTTATATTTATGTATACCTATGGATATAAAGTAGGTCTTATATGTAGGGAAGAAATAGCGACAGATTGATAGCTCATCGATGTTTTTCAAAGAACCCTGTCAGTAGGCATTAATTCTATAAAATGTTATATAAGCAATTTGACTCAAGACTGGCAGAACCTATTTTTATTTTCATACAGCACACTTCATATCTCAAAAACTGATGAACCGAATTTATCCTTGACACAAAAGATTAAGAATAACTGTGCTGTAAGCTCCTCGCCTTCTCCCGCACCTCTAATCAAACATGATGCCCCTCATAATCGCAAAAAACTCGTTGAAAACAAAATCTGTGACGGAGATCTCAAAGGTGCCGTTCGCCTTTTGTTCTCCAATGACGTGCTATCACCAGATACCCCTGACACCCTTCAGGCCTTACGGACAAAACATCCCCCAGCTCCAGCAAACCCATATTTTCTCGACCCACCAACAGCAGGGCAAGCATGCCTTCAAATTCAATACAAAGATGTTATGGATGCCATTTTATCTTTTAAGCCAGGTTCGGCTGCAGGTTTGGATGGAATCTCACCCCAACATTTGAAAGATTTAACATCGCATTCTGTGGGTAATGCAGGCGAGCAACTTGTAAATTCGATCACTAAATTAATCAACTTTATGTATTCCGGTAGTGTCAATCCAGAAATTGTTCCTATTCTTTTCGGCGCGAACCTCATTGCCCTGACCAAAAAGGACGGAGGGGTGAGACCAATTGCTGTTGGATCAACACTACGACGTCTGGCCTCCAAAATTGCTGTTCGACATATTTTACCAAAACTAAATTCGGAATTTGAACCCGTACAGTTAGGCTTCGGTGTCAAAGGAGGGTGTGAGGCAGCCGTCCATGCCCTACGCTCCTTCCTAACTTACGGGCAGCCTGACGTGTTGCTCAAAATTGATGTCAAAAATGCATTCAATTCGGTAAATAGGGATACCCTGCTGACAGAAATAAAACAACATATACCGGAAATATACAATTATCTTCTTCTCAGTTACGCCGACCCAACAAAATTGTTATATCGTTGTAATGAACTGTCCTCGGAAGTAGGTTGTCAACAGGGTGATCCCCTTGGGCCTGCAATTTTTAGTTTGGCTATAAATCCGATAATCAAAAATTTAAATTCTAAATTCAATGTTTGGTATTTGGACGACGGAACCCTAGGAGGTGATGTGGATACTGTGTTTTCGGACCTTTTTTTAATCAAAAATAAATTTGAAGCCATTGGTTTGGAGCTTAATTTTAACTTTTTATAAATAACAACGACTTAAATTTAAATGACGTTAAACAAAAATTTAATATTTTAGCTCCAAATATTAAAATAGTTAACAGTAATTCCCTTTACCTTTTAGGTTCTCCAATTTTTGATGAATCTATTTCTGAATATATTAATAATTCAATTAATAAATTTCAAAATTCTGCCGACCGTCTCTTTGAAATTAGTCCACATTATGCACTTTACATCTTGAAATTCTGTCTTTTTGTCCCAAAATTTACGTATGTGCTCCGTTGCTGCTCCTTTTGGAATCACTTAGATCTTTTGTCACAATTAGACGACTTAATCAAAATTAACTTAGAATCGGTTCTTAATATGCAGCTGAACGAGCAATCTTGGACCCAAGCATCCCTACCCATCCGTTATGGTGGTTTAGGGATTCGCAAAATTTCCAGTGTCGCTTTACCAGCCTTCCTATCTTCTGTCCATAGTTCAGCAAATCTCATAAGTAAAATTTTAAGGGCATCCCCTTCAAACTTTGAGATTGCTGGCTTGGAAGAAGCTAGAAACGCTTTCTTAATTGCATGCCCAGGTCAAAATTTTCCAGTTTCTCCAAATTCACAGAGGAGCTGGGACGACATAAATTGTAAATTAACTTATAATAACCTTTTGAGCTGCAGTACAGGTTCGGCGCGTGCTAGGCTTTTGGCCATGGGTACGCATGAGGCCGGCTACTGGCTTCACGCGTACCCTTCGACAAATACAGGCACATTTCTTGAGCCTGACACACTCCGAATGGCAACCGTCTACGGCTTGGGGTCCCGGTCTGCGCTCCTCATAAATGTCCCTGTGGCAGTGATGTCGACAAGCTAGGACATCATGGACTGTCTTGCCAAAAAAGTGCAGGCCGCTTCTCGAGACACGCCGCACTTAACGATATCATACGCCGGTCCCTTGCCACCGTCAACGTGCCAAGTCTACTTGAGCCAACTGGTATTGCAAGAGACGATGGCAAGAGACCGGACGGCATGAGTTTGATTCCATGGAAGATGGGTCGGGTGCTAGTATGGGATGCAACCTGTTCAGACACGCTGGCCCCTTCCCATCTACATGGAACTTGCTTGCATGGCTTGTGAAGCGGCTGAAAAAGTTAAGGCAGGCAAATACAGGGGTCTAGGCTCCGAATATGATTTTGTCCCATTCGGTGTCGAGACCCTTGGTCCGTGGGGTCCTAGCGCTATAAGGCTTTTTAAAGAAATAGCGAAAAGATTAGTCGACATCACAGGAGACCGAAGAGCTGGCAGCTACCTCGGACAAAGAATAAGTCTAGCTATCCAAAGGGGGAACTAAATAACTAAAATACATTTAATAATGTATTTTAGTTATTATATTTTATTTTTTAAGGTTTTTAGTTTTAGGTTCATTGTTATAGTATATTTTTTGTTTTAATTATTCTTAAATTTATTCATATTGCACCATATTGTTGTAAATTAAATAATAATTCTTTATATGTATACATTATAATTCTATACTATGTATGTTATATTCTAAACGTTTTTAACAGTCTAGTTGAGTGTCTTATTTTTATTATGCCTGTTTGTTTATTGTATAATTTTTCTTCATTTTTTTCACAAGCCAGCTCTGTGTATATAGAATATTCCGGTGTGTTTCTCAAATAAAACATTAAACACTTAGTTCTTCTTACAACAATTATATAGAGATAACATTACATACTACAATGTTTACCCTGAGCTTTTCCAAACCATACATAATTTAAAGTTCCAATTAACTCTGAAACTTTGAAAAATGTGTAACACGAAGAGTAAACTGTAATGTAGAGATGCGTAAATTGGCATGTATAAAGGTTGTACGAGTATGTTATGAGCACACCTCATCAATAGATGCAAATTATGCCCACGTTTACTTACACGTATCACAACTTGCTAATTAAACTCTGCTACATCTTTTTGCATTGGGCCTTCTGTTTTCTTGAGTGTTTAACTACTAATATTGGCACTAGAGATGTCAGTGCTTGTGATCTCGTTTAATACTATCGATTTATCATTAAAGGAATTCTAATGAGTGTTGCTAGTTTAGTAAAGCAGCGTTTTACTAACTAAATCACTCGCGAAAATCAAGCTAATCATATCGCAAATGTCTTCAGATTATGGACCGGAGGTTGTCTTGCCTTTGGTATTTTTTTCATTTGGTTCTCTTATTCATTGGTACTTACATGATTCTGTTGAAAAAGAGCAAAATATGAAATGAATAAATCATCTTAAATCGCGAGAATTCAATTAGGTAATAAGTTTAGAAATAGTTCTACGTAATCTAGTCTGAGTTGCTAGCTCTTGTAAAAGGAAAGCATACATTACAAACAATGAATTTCATTTTAGTAAAATAAAGGCATATTTTTATAAATTAAGTACGAATTTTCCTGAGATATTTTTGAGGTGTATCACAATTACATTTAAAATCTTTCGAAGTTGTGACACGATAAGTGTTAGTAGTTTATTTTTGTTTCAAAATTTAGTTTATGTTCAACGTACGTTGTCTGACTTTGGATGGGTGCAAAGAGATCTATTTTGCAATTCACTCGAAGTATCTAGGTTCCGAGATAACACGAGTGTTTTTCACAATCGACTAACAATCGCGAAAGATTTATACATTCGCCGGCGGTTAGATGGTAAAACACGGAGTTATTTCAGACGGAATCCGCCTTGTGGATTTGCTCCGACGAAAATAGTATCATCGATCTTATTCGCAGAGAATAACACCGGCCTCGTATTTATTTATCCAAAGGCATATACGAAAACTTTTGCCTTATTTTCAGAGTTCATTTGCATATTCATAATTCTAGCTTTTGTTATATATATTAGTGGAACTATTTCGTACGAAGATGACGTACTCAAACTGATTACAACGTTAAGTGAGACTTCTTGTCGAGTACTGAGTAAACCGCATCAAATTCGCAATTTGGCTTTTGTCGGTTCACTTGATTCAATTAGGCGTTGATTGTCAGCGGCTAGAGGTCGCGTCGGGGTTGTGTCTGCGTTAATTAGGGTCTTACACTTCGCCCACACACGTGCCTATTGTCATCCTCTGCTCTATAATCTGGCTGTGCCTTCGCTTGATTCTTGTTTAACAATGAATACGTTGTGATTTATAATTTTCCTTCGAGATAACGTTGTTTTTCGTTATATTTTAGTAAAAGCAGTCTTATATTGACCTTAATACGCTTTAAATGCCAATACAATAAAGAGCACTAAGAAAACATTATTAAAGATAACAGACAATTCATAAATTAATTAGTTCTGTAGCGGCAAACAAAAATCTGGAAGCAATATAACTGTCTTTTAACGTTTATTTACGTTTGTATTGTTTGTGTGTATGTTTGTGTATAGGAACCAATGGCACACAATTTTTTATTAATAGTAATTTTTCTAGAACAATTGCCAAGAATCGGCGATGTGTTTACATTTTACTATTCGGACATCACGTTTGTGTCATTTGTGTTTCCCGACGTTTGTGTATAATAAAAGCTTTATTCTTGTTGATCATAATCCCCGTTATCAATATTGCGTGACTATGATCTCGTGCCTTCGTTAATTGCAAACTTGTTACGGCTTTCATTATGATGAAGGAGTCGTTGCTCACTCTGTAACAATAAATAATGTCTATCGTTAGTAAGTGTTCTTTAGTTCGAAAAAAGGGCCAATATAACTTTAATATTATTGGTCTTTCTTATATTACTTCATTACTTTTATTTTAGACAACAGATATTCTAGTGCGACAGTTAATAACTAGTGTAGCGTTGAAGTTAAGCCACGCGAAAAATATTTCTATACTATTGTAAGTACATCTCTGTCACGGCGAAATAACATTCATGTTACCTCATAAAAGAAGGCGTGTTTTTATTAATAGTAATAGTAAGTACTCTGTATTTTTTGTTGTCACAAGTGATGTTATCAACCCGAGAGCTGGTTTTGGTTTAGTTAAACAAAGCAGGCTAAGCACCGGCACCGGTTGAGCATGATCGTGCGTCAGTGGACTAAGCTCGTGGGTGGCCTTGACTGAGCCAAGGACGGCGCTCGCGCAGGGGGCGTGCCGGTCGGCTGAACACGCGAACTGTGCGCGTATCGCAGTTTTTTTCTCGCCATTTCCTAACTAGATTTTGTTTGCATATTTTATTAATTGTAGATAAAGTGGTTTTAATGCGGATGGCATCATTGTTTGATCAGGTAGGATCTATCAATTGTATACTTACTATTTTTTAGATAATTTAGCCAATAATGCATTAGTAAAATTCGGCTGTTGTGCAAACTGAACAAATTTTATAAAAAGGATTTGGTTTTTTTTTTAATAGATTCCCTACTTATTTTAAATCAACAATTACGTGAAGATAAACAAAACCAAGTATGTAATAACACGCTCGAGTTTTAAATATAGTAGAGTTTACTTATTGCGTTCTTTTTTTCGTTTATAGTATCTAGTTCTCAGTCGGCATACTGATCGGGTGGCATTGTGTAAGTATCGATTCTGGCAGTCGTTGGCCTGCTTTGCACAAAAACTGTCGATGACCGACGCGGCTTCGCTCCGCTCTTGCCAGTACTCATTATTCGAGAGTCCCGGACGTTGCGTACGTGGCGCGTATATCTTAGGAAATGTTCATTTCCCACTCTTCGCCATCACTCTATTCCATGTTACATTTGAAAACGAGGAAATGGTATGGTGGCTTTCTTCGTTCTGACGTTCTCAATTTCACTAATATAACACTACTACTACTGTCAATGTCAATAGGATCGTAATTGATTAGATTTATCGTACTGCCATCCACCTCGTGTACTTTACTGAATGTAGTGAATATCGTATTCACTGAAATTAAAAAAAAAATTTTTTCAAATAGTGAACAGGGGCAATGAGTTATTTTAATTTAAATTCTATTTTTTTATGTAGTACATAGAACTAAAGCTTCAATCAATAGTTTACTTACAGATAATATTTTGGAAACCAAAAATTTATGTTCATCATTATTATTACAATTTCATATACCTCTATAAATATTGGGATTGTATTAAACACTAATGTGGCAGTGCATTTATAATAATCTCGTATGTTAATTGCAGAATAGAATCGCTAATGTTTTGTTTGCTGGCTAAACAATGCAGCAAATAGGTATGTGTCTGCTACGGAGTGCGTATTCTGTAAATTAGCTTCAAAACAACTACTTAATTATTCATGCAGCTTTAAACTCGCCGTTGTAGCAGTGTCACAATGTGTCGCCGTAATAATATTCACTTGTGTTACGTTGTACTTAACAGCTAGTCCAGTCGTATTTACTTTGTAGCTGCACGTTTTGAGATTGTACAGTTTCAGCTTTAGGACGATCTGTTTACGATGTTTCAAGTAAAAAAAAACAACTAACATTCTCTTTAAAATATGGGAGTTTAAATTTATCGTACTCTGGATTAGAAGAGCTTTATTCTTAATTTCTGAATGCGAACTCGTGAGCTGTGTTGATATCTAAATATAGAATATCTGGTATCAGCCAATGCTGATTTGGATACGACCAATGTTTGTCTCTTACACTACGTATACGCCATTTGCCGTGGCGACCGACACACGAATATTGGGTTCGGTCGTTGCTCTTTTGAATTTACGCAACTTTATGAGACAGTACATTGTCTTTATCGTTATCTTGAACAAGATTATATTGAATACGGACTACTGTTTGAAATATTCTGTTCATTTATATGATAGTAAAAAAATACGAATTGTCTGTTTTTGACTACATAATCGTGAATGCTACGCGTTGTTACGGTTGACCACCAAGATGTACATGCATATATTACATATACTATTATGGTGACGCTATAGCAGAAAGAAATTAATAAATATCAACATACCAGTATTTTTTTGGGTTTTGGGTTCTGTTTGTCGGAAATTCTTCATAATTGACAATTTAAGAAATCGTCACATCATCACACTATAGGGCTCTTATTGACTTGATGAAAATTTCAAATGCATATATAGCATATGAACCTTTTTGAGTAAGCGAACAAGTATGCTAATAAAAAAAATCATAAAGGATCAGGTGGGAATCGAACCATTGTCAATAATTGAAAGATATCCACGAGCTTCAACTGCATTTTCTTCGGGATTCGTTATTTATATTAAGTATTATATTTTTAATATTAAAGAGTTCTGAAGTATAATAATTGTGGTTGTAGTTGAAATCCATGAAGGTCTGGTAGTATGCAATGGTAGCTGTAAAAATATTGTTCATGAGTGTCACCGATATATTGAGTAGAGGCCAGAAAGTCGGCACTTGTGTCTGCAAATCTTGTTTCGATCGACCGATATTCATCTTGGCTTCGTTTTGTGAATAGGCTAGAGATTTGATGATGTTATGTAACTAACGAATAATTTACGCTGCTGTGTAGACATACCATTTTATCATCGTTAACATTAAATGACCAGTTTTCACTAGTTCCTAAAAAGTTCTTATTAGCAAGTAGGTATTTTTTTAAATGTTCGAATGTCATATGCAAATATTAAGCGTATGTGCACTCGAAATACATATTTTGAACGACTAGTATTGAGTGCACGGCCTTGCTCGCAAAGTGGATAATCACGCCTGACTGTTGAATATGTCCGCAGGAGATTGGATAACAAATTTATATGTGTTTACTAAATCAATTTGCATCCACCGTGCGTTCAAAATTTCAGGTACTAAACAAAAACATCCGCTTAAATTTTTTTTTAGTTATTTTCTTTGTATACTTTGCGGGAATACTTTTTGGCTTTACGGAGCAGAACATTTATTTTAGAATAGAATAGAAATATTTTATATTTTATAACTTTGTAGTCGCTCGTAAATTATCTGATATTGTTGGATTTACAACATGTATTTTTTCTTTATTCGCATAATCAAAACATTACAAAAATATATTGCTTTAAAATGTCACATGACGTCAAGTTTTGGTACAGTTTCTACTAAAAGTGACGTCACGAGCCCCCCACTCCCAAACTTTAAAGCGTTTTATATTTGTCAGTTTTGATTGACTGACTAAAGAACAAATACTTGTCCATTATTTTTTGTATATCGAACTGACGGACAAAATAGAATTTCGTTTACTTAACCCTGTCGTCACCCATATTTTTTGTATACTGCTCCAAGTTAAGCTTCTGAGAATGAATCCTGGTGCTTGTCACACACTTGATATTATAAAATCGCACACTAATCAGATAATAAATAAATCCTGACATGAATTACAAAATTTCAAAGAAAAAATATATAGAAAAGGCGATCAGGAACGCAACCGGATAATTTTGTTACTAACTTAACCCGATAATAATGTTGTATCTAATTATTCAAAGGTTTTTTTTACTGGGTTGGTTGGAGGTATTCAGATAATATTTGATAAATCGTACATGAAAAGAATATTTGATTGATATCAGAAGAATATTGAAGGAGATATCTTAATATGGAAATACGTGCAATTGCCTTATCATATTGTGTAAGTATCACGGACTAGATAAAAAAACCGCAAGCCTGAACGTTTCTTTAAAATATTGTTTATGCCATTCTTTAGTTTTTAAATCCAATACGGGAAAAAATACATACTTAGAAACATTATTATACTACGCATCCCTCAGTCGCTGACAGGGTTAGCTGAGCATTAAACAAGCGTAAGTATGAGACAATACTCGTATACAAAGTATGAAATATATCCTATCTAAGCCACTTTAAACTTGATTGCTTCCCAGATTTTTTAAAACGACTCTTTGAATACTTCTATCAGTTTGTTTGTGTCTAGATTAAAGTTTCATGTGATTGGCAGGTATTCGATAGATTTTGTGTGATTTAGCTTCGTATTATAGTTTGGTATGATCCTCATGTATTCGATAGTTTTTGTGTGTCATCCAGCTCAACATTTGGTGTGTTCTACAGGTATTCGGCACGGTGGAGTTGCCGGACAAGCCGATCATGCTACCTCCCTTCGTGGAGGCGACCCACTGCTTCGGCTACCACTTGACGCGCAAGGGCCGCGCGGTCGCCGACCGCGTCGTGTCCGTGCTCGGCTTCGCTTGTCCCGACATCACCTACAGCCCGAGCCTCTACCCCATCACCGCTGCCTTGTTGCACTTTATGCCTGGTGAGTCGCCGAAATTTTATCTTTTCACGTTATTCTGGTGATTTCTGCCTATGGTGATCGTAGTTTATAGTTCAGGTGCCAGTTAAAACAATACTGGTGTCGATTCTGGCATGATTATCTAAACCTAAACTTAAATTTGACAAAAGTATATCTGTGTCATTCACTATACAGAATGAAAAGGAGAGCCTGATGTTAAATTTAGTTTTAAGTTAAGATAATCATGTCAGAATTGACACCATTAATACAATTAAAATTATATTGCGATTTGAGTCAACCAGACAGCAGACGATTATGTAAATTGGCAACTATAATCAAATTATTATAATAATTTGATTAAGCTGCTAGCCTTTTTGCTCAAGAAAGAAAGAAAGATTCATTCGGGCGTTACAGCACCATCTCGTGTAACCGTGCTAGGTTCTCCCCGTTTTCGATGAGCCATCAGTACTATTTCTGAAAAAGTAATAGGTATTATCTAAAGTCTGAAGAAAAACAAAAAAATCTGATCTTTACTTTTAATTAAAAATAACTCGGTTGTTTTTGTATCAAGGAGAGAAGACCTAGTTACTTATCAGTATTTATTTGGAACTTAGATGTTATGTAAATATTACGAGTTTATAAAGAAATTATAGTCTTGGATTAGATAATATTATTGTCGTAAATTATTCAGGCTTCTGGTATTATTTCACATTATATATATATTTCTGAAGCTCATTCATTTTTAAATTAGATATAAATAGGTAGCTATGGCTAGCTGATGCTGAAAATCCAATAGATCTTTTTGAGTGTATGTATAGGGTTTCTTACCCAAGTAAGTAAGATTTCTTAGGAATGATAATGTCACGCATATTTGTATTATGATTTTTATTTGGCAAGCAAAGCTGCCTTTTCTCTCACAAGGAATGTAATCAAAACAATTCATCCTGTGCACTCAGGTAGAATCCAGTTCCTTAAAACATCCTTTCAATTCAGAGCAGAGGCGTCACAAAATTTACAGTCGCTCTCGCCTTAATTCAGTAATGAGTGCGGGGGGCGATAATTGAACTCAGCAATAGGCAAATTGCCGAGGCAGTCTCTCCCGTCTATATCTCGGTTACTATTGTCCATCGACGAAACCATTTCATACTCTATTCTATTGTGATATGATTCGTTTTCCTCGGCATCCTAACACTATCCCAGTTTAATCTTATCAGAATCTAAATTGAACCCTCTTACTCCAACGACAGAGTTTGGAATGTGCACGATACCATCTGACCGGGTCGTCCTGATTACACGACAAATGGTCGCCGTCGTCAGCACGCCACAGATTTGCATTGCGTCCGACATGCTGTCAAATTCATATGTCTCACTTCCTCTGCTGTACATTTTCGAATCATTCGCAGGAATGCGGCTAAAATATTTGTGTAATGTTTAAAATGTTTTGATTTGTATATTTTCTTCGAGAGTTAACTAAATTGAATTTATATGTTCTCTGGTTTGTTTTCATGATATCTTTGTGTAAAAATTTTATAAAATATTGAAGTTAATGTTCACACATATTTAATTTTCAAAACTTCAACATACAACTATAACCTTTGCTTTTTTATCATTACTCATCTTGATGCTGCCGCATTTTTTTTTCAACTGTAATTTATTTGTTACACGAGTTTCTATTACGTTAATGAGTCAGATTGTTATGTCATTTATCTCATAAACAATTATATTAAATGTGATTTAGTTGAAGCCACAAACAATAAACTGCCATGGGAGGGGCCACAGGCCAGGTGTTTGCAAAACAATCCCTCTATATTGTGTCTTATTTCTATACATCTGGGAGTTGTTCGGTTAGATGTTCGCGTCGACTCGCGATCCATATTCGGTCTAATATTGACGTACACACGTTTCAACAGTTTTATTATTGTACTGAAATAGTCTATGACGTGGACTGCGCTCACGTGCTCCATTTAGAACGGTGGGAGTGGTTAGGTCTCGTCCATCCAGTGTTGTTTTTATAATTATTGCTTGACGCTTCGGTCGGTGGACTTGTGTCAGTGTCGCTGATATAATTTCGGAGCTCAACAACTATTGTGGCCGTGACACTGGGAGCTGCGCGCCGCCGGTTTCAACCAATTCACCGAGTTCACGCAGGCTTGGTTTTTTGTAATTACTACGTTCGCGAAGTGACGACGCGAACTCATACTGCCGTGTTACAGTGGTTGGCTTGGCGCCAGTCGAGCTCTGCCTCTTTTGTATCGATCTGAGAAGCTGCCAACGCTTTTCTCTTGCCGAGAACTCGTTTCCACAACTCGTGTTATGTGTGAGAATCGCCAGCTACTTGATCTTATCTAACTTTACAGAAACAACATTTCTTATCAATGGCTTTATTAATAGAACTGATAAAACTATTTGTTTTCACTGTTCGAATGGCAGCGAAGCTATGGCGTTAAAAATCTGTTACCATTGTAAGTATTTACAGTACAAATTACTGAGCAGTTCTGTTTATTCATTATGTACGAGACATAATGTTAGTAGAGTATACTACCAATGCGGAATAATATTACTGAGCATTTTAAAAAACCAATTCAACTGGAATTAGAACAAAACACTCGTGAGGAATCCATAATGAACTTTTGTGTGCTAAAACACTACGTCGGAGCTTTTTCAATAATGGATGACCGAATTGAAATATGAGTTCTTTAAAAAAATCGATTGTAAAGGTCAAAGGGCTGGTGAATAAAAAAATTACACAAAAAGCTTGAATAAAATACTCATTACATGTTGTTTGTTGGTGTCGTGGGGGCATTGGAGTGAGACGGTTTCCTCTTCCGGTGTTGATCGAATGGCTTACTTTACAGACGCTTTGATAACATGAGTTTTCCTATTCAAATACGTACCGGCAGCAGCGTTGACACATGTGTAGAGCTAGACGAGGCATACGAATAAGTGAATCTATCGCTTCATGTCGTAATCCCTTGCGGGGTTATACGGAATTATTAGGTGGTATGCTACCGTAAATACACAGTATATATATATCACTTTTATTACAACAATAATATAATCGAAATTGTTATGAGCGGTGATGGGATTCATGTTCATGGACATCACTAAAGTTCCGCACCAAAAGCGGCCTACTGACATGTCTGCCGCAGGGACAATCTGGGATGTAAGAGTGGGGATGACCCTTAATTGCCTCCTGAATTGTGACGCGTGTAGGCAAGCAGGGGCAATTTTCTAAATCGCGAGACCACCCTTGGTCCCTAGATTGTCCCTGCCGCCCTGCACGTTGCCACGTGTGTAGCGCGATTGGAGCAATTTCTCAAACAGTCGGTTGGTAGCTGTCACACGGAGCGCACGTATTTCGATCAAGATGGCGGCAGATCATAATGAGCATGAAGTTTGGACACGAATGATCGAAGTTTACAAAGACCGGCCCCACGTGTGGGATAAAAAAAACAAACATTATATATTTTTTTAATATTTTTTTAAGGTACATGTAACTGCTCGATGCTTAAATCTAAAGAAAATATTACTAAAAAAATAGAAATAGTTTTTTTTATTTTTTCTTGTAATATTTTCTTTATATTCAAACATTGAGCAACTGCTCAATCAAAACATGCTTAAAAAAATAAAATTATAACATTAATTGCTATTTCTTCTTTCAAATGTTTAATACTTGTAAAGGTATTCATTTGACATTGTGGGTTACTTATAATGGCGCTGCACAGTGTATTATGAAACCCATTTTTCGGACGTCTGCTTTTTATTACAAAATCCTGAAGTTTCAATCATTTAAAACGCTAGAGGAGCACTCCAGAGTATCAAAAACGCTTAGTTTTGGAAAAAGAATATTTTTAAAATCTGGTTTTTTTTGCGGATATTTTTTTAGAAAAATTCCTTCTACCTAAAGCAAACATATTTTAAATATATGTCATAAGTGATATGAAAGAACTTTACAAGCTTCATCTTTAAGAGCTATTAGCGTCCTCGTAACTGCCATAGAAAAGGAGAAATTATTATTTTTCAGTTTTTCGTTTTTATTTTATTTTTCAGATAATCCACCGTATTTGGAAAAGTTATCCAGATGAAAATGAAGGTCCTAAATCCTTCTACCTACCACTAAAAAATCACATCCAAATTGCGTGGAGTTTAGAAGCTGTGTTTAATTAAATATTTCGATCAGGGTTGTTACTTTTTTGAATTTTCAATATCCGGAATTTTATCTAAGGTGGGTGGGTGGTTTAAGTCCCACGTGTGGTGTGTAATATAACAAGAAACTATATAATGTTGAAAATACATAATATCATTTAGTTTTAATAAATTATGCAATATGTGAAATGAAAATTCTATTAAGTACCTAAATTTATTTCAAACACAACTTATAAAAGGTAATTGGAGAAGAAAAAATGTACAAATTCCATTGAAAATTGATGGGAAACTACAAACCCTACATTGCGTGTGGTCCGACATCCGTGCGATTAAAAACAAATTACACGGGCGAAGCCGCGGGTAACAGCTAGCATTTAAATTATATTACATACCCTATGATTATACCCTAATATTCCGGATATTTTTGAATTTGTGAATAGTGTCAACCCTAATGAAAAAAAACCCGATTATTTACAAAACAGGCTGTATCATATAGACTCCACGCAATTTGGACGTGATTTGTTTGTGGTAGGTAGAAGGATATGGGACCTTCACTTTTATTTGGATAACTTTTCCAAATACGGTGTATTATCTGAATAATAAAATAAAAACGAAAAACTGAAAAAAAGTTATTTCACCTGTTCTAAGGCAGCCACAAGGGCGCTAATAGCTCTTAAAGATGAAGCTTGTAAAATGCTTTCTAATAACGTTTGTCATATATTCAAAATATATTTGCTTTAAGAGGAGGAATTTTTCTAAAAAAATAACCGGGAAATAAAACCAAATTTTCAAAGTTTTTTTTTTCAAAACTAAGCGTTTTTGCCACTCTGGAGTGCTACTCTAGCATTTTAAATGATTGAAACTTCAGGATTTTTTAA